CAGCACTTTTGTTTCAGGTACATAAACACATTTCTTATCTTATATAACCTGTCGCTTCTGTCAGGCCTGGGTTTTTTCTGAAAAGTGTACATACGTAACAGTATCAGGAAACTATTGACACCTATAATGTCACTAAAACCTGGAGTTGAAATCAGGCGATCTGTTGTCCAGTATGTGGTGACAGTGTGCTTATACACATGTGGCATAAACATTATTGTGGCAAAAAACAGGTACATCTCTGCCACAGTTGTCTCCTTCCATTGTGTAGCCGTGATTTTGGTGAGAGAATTGTATTTGCCATGGTGTAATCACAGTATGTATTTGTTTCCCTGACAATGATGTCCATCAGGGGTTCATCGAAAAATAACTCAAAGCAGTCCAGTTCACTGGCATTGTTCCCAAGTGGACAAGATGGCTTTATTCCACTTTGTGTTTCATCAAAGTCATGGGGACTGGGAACAAACTCGTCACCGTCCTGCCAATCCCAGATGCGGTCTGCTGGTGGGTCTGATATTGTACTGTGGTTGTGGCTGTGCAGGTTGTGGCAGTGTGGGGTAGGGTGAGGCTGGGTTTTTCTGCTGAGTCAGCCGCGTGGGTAGTTTTGCGTGGCCCGGTGATGGTGCCACATGGGCCGTGCCACCCTCACTATCACCACCACTGCCTCCTCCCTCACTGTCACCATTCATACCCATCGTTACAATATCGTCATCTTCACTATCAGGTCGTGGTGTAGGGCCACGGGATGTGCTCCCAGAGTTTCTCCTTCCCCTTGGAACAACATATGAAACACTACCAGACCGCATACTACGTCGTACATACTGGCACTTCACTGGGGAATATTCACTCTCACTGTCACTAGAACTGCTTTCAATGACCTTGAAATCACTATCGCTATCACTATCACTGCTATCATCTGGGTGTTGTACACGACCAAATAGTTTCCCCTTTTCGTCCTGGTACAGGCGAACGGAACTGAACAAGCCGGGCACAGCACCAGAGGTCGAAGGTTGTGGGTCATCGGGGTTTTCGTCACTATTTACGTTATCCTGGGCACTTTTTCGGAAAACACTCACTTGAAAACCCTTAATTCACTGTCACTGACATTTTCATCGCTGTTAGAGCTATCACTTGGGAACAAAAGACCTCCAATCCGCCGAGGAGTGAGGAACTTCTTACCAAGAGGCATGGTGAAAATGGACTGACAACATGGCGTTCCCACAATGCACCGCTGGGTCCCAGATTTTTTTCACAGGGTGCACACCGACCACTGAGACCCATTCTCTCCCGTGTAGGCCTACCAGGCCTTTGGCGCTCGATTTGAAGCCGCTAGAATTTGTGCGTATAAATACGTCAGAAACATTGGCTCGTAAGACGTATTTATACGTCGGAAACAGTCAAAGGGTTAATGAAGATCTGGTGATGATTGATGGGATGGGAAGAGGGGAGAGTGTTGAACCTATTGTTTAGAAGGGGAATCCCCCTCCATTAGGACTTGAGGTAGCAAGTCCTAATGAGTAATGTAGGTCCTGCTTGGCAATTTCTTCCAAAACAGGCCTGTTTTGTCACAATTAAATACTTGTTCAGGTTTCAATCCTTCAGCCTCTATGTACTCCTTGAATTCATGCACATATTTTTCAGCCGCTTTGTGGTCTGAACTGGTAGCCTCACCATGCCTAATCACACTATGTATACCACTACGATTCTTAAATTTTTCAAACCAACTTTTGCTGGCCTTAAATTCACTCATCACCACTAGTTGCAGGCAATTTCTTTACCAAATCGTCATGCAACTGCCTAGCCTTTTCACAAATGATCGTTTGAAAGATGTTATCTCCTGCTATCTGTTTTTCATTTATCCACACCAATAACAGTCTCTCAACATTTTCTAACACTTGCGGTCGTTGTTTCGTAATCACAGTTGCACCTTTTGCAAGAACAGCTTCCTTGATTGCCATTTTCCTGCTCACCATAGTAGAGATGACCAGCTCCGACACACCCACTCCACTTTCTTACTTTGCAATTATCTCTTTCTTCATTTCAATAGTCATTAGCACCCGTTGTCTCGAAGGGTTGGCACTAGAAGCTTTCTTGGGGCCCATGGTGACTTATTTTGCAGAAACAAGCACCAAAAACAGTGATAATATGGATAATATGGAATGTACCGAATGTATCCTTAGATGCGTGCACACTGGCACACATGGTTCAGTTCAGGCCACACGTGCACACGTCTCGTACGAATCGTATCGCATACCGGGTTTTGTAACGGGAACCGAGGCAAATTTTCTGCGATATAATGCATCGGTTATCGGATTTATCGGATACCGATAACATCGCGAACCAGGGGTCCACTGTATAAAGGAACTATACACACACTGCCAATTACTAGATACCTTCCCCTCTTTCATACATTTATTAAACCTGAGTCCTGGAAATGGGAAGTACAATGCCTGCACTTTAAAGGAGGGGTTTGGGATATTGGCAGTTTGGATGGATATGTTGTGTATCTTTATATGTGTATGCTTCTAAACTGTTGTATTCTGAGCACCTCTGCAAAAACAGTGATTATGGGGATTTTCTTTCTTTTTTGGGCAACCCTGCCTCGGTGGGAGATGGCCAACTTGTTAAAAAAAAAAAGCACTCCAAAATTACATCCCCCTCTGCTTTTAACTTATAAGGGTCCAGACCCCTGATCTGAAAATTACTCTCACAGTCCATTAATTTTGCAAAAAAAAAAAAATTTTTTTCTTATGAAATGATCATTTTTTTTCCATAGATAATGAAACCAAAAGTATGAAATTTGATGGAAAACCTAGGGAATTACGCTTTTGCAAAGTTAGAGGTCTCGCTATTTACGCATTGTCGATTTTACCTACTGTATGTCCTATTTTAGGCAAATTCCATTGTTCCAGTCGATCATACATACTCTTAGCTACTTCGCTAGTATGTTTTCCACTCTATCTATTGAGTACAAGAAACTACCCATTGAACTATTTTAACTACCGAAAAAAGTTATCAGAAATCAGTAATTAGGCCAGTTTCACTCAAAATTAAAAAAAAATTCCAATTTAAAAATAGGGTACAGAATAAGCAGTGTAGATATTCCTGGCACTAAAACAATATTTTCTCTGTTCATTAGTTATGTCCCCAGGCCTCCCCTATATTGCACTTACTTTTCATTTAGAATTTTTATTCACACAAAAATAGAAGATCTACTGTTATGCAGACTACTGCATTATTGTAATAATTGTATAAAACCTGCCAGCTCATTTGTGAATGTGTATTGGACCGATTAGTTGGACGTGTATTAGACGAGTGACGTAATTTGTATCCTCTTGAATATCGGCAAAATCAGTCATTTCCACTACTTTGAGCTCAATTTCAAGCTACTTCCATCATCTCTTATTTCTGTAATATATCTTCCATTCTGTCAAATGATACCAAGAAACCAAGAATACAACCATAAAAACCATACGAAAATACACCGCAAAGTCACTATTTTAAACTAAATACACAGTCAGTTTTCTTACCATCTTGCACTGTGTGGGGCAGGATTTTTTATATGGTGCACACTCACTGCATAGACCCATTCTCTCATATCTAGGCCCAAATTTACTTCTCACTCTTTAACTGAGTGAGATGATCTAATCCTGTAGTTCGATATATAGTATTCGTCATGTATGTAATGTCACCCTGGATGATTAATATATTTATAGATTGGGTTGTAAAAGAAATAAATGCTAGGGTGTTTGGGAGAGGGGTGGGATTAAATTATGGGGAATCAAATACAAAATGGGAATTGACACTGTTACTTTTTTGCTGATGATACTGTGCTTATGGGAGATTCTAGAGAGAAATTGCAAAGGTTGGTGGAAGAGTTTGGGAGAGTGTGTAAAGGTAGAAAGTTGAGAGTGAAGATAGAAAAGAGTAAGGTGATGAGGGTATCAAATGATTTAGAAAAAGAAAAATTGGATATCAAATTGGAGAGGAGTAGTATGGAAGAAGTGAATGTTTTCAGATATTTGGGAGTTGACGTGTCAGCGGAAGGATTTATGAAGGATGAGGTTAATCATAGAATTGATGAACGAAAAAAGGCAAGTGGTGCGTTGAGGTATATGTGGAGACAAATAAATGTTATCTATGGAGGCAAGGAAGGGAATGTATGAAAGTACAGTGGTACCAACACACTTATATGGGTGTGAAGCTGGGGTTGTAATTGCTTCAGCTAGGAGACGGTTGGAGGCAGTGGAAATGTCCTCTCTAAGGGCAATGTGTGGTGTAAATATTATGAAGAAAATTCGGAGTGTGGAAATTAGGAGAAGGCGTAGAGTTAATAAAAGTATTAGTCAGAGGGCTGAAGAGGGGTTGTTGAGGTGGTTTGGTCATTTAGAGAGAATGGATCAAAGTAGAATGACATAGAGAGAGTATAAATCTGTAGGGGTAGGAAGGCGGGGTAGGGGTCGTCCTCGAAAAGGTTGGAGGAAGGGGGTAAAGGAGGTTTTGTGGGCGAGGGGCTTGGACTTCCAGCAAGCATGCATGAGCGTATTAGATAGGAGTGAATGGAGACGAATGGTATTTGGGAGCTGACAAGTTGTTGGAGTGTGAGCAGGGTAATATTTAGTGGAGGGATTCAGGGAAACCGGTTATTTTTATATAGCCAGACTTGAGTCCTGGAAATGGGAAGTACAATGTCTGCATTTAAAGGAGGGGTTTGGGATATTGGCAGTTTGGAGGGATATGTTGTGTATCTTTATATGTATATGCCTCTAAGCTGTTGTATTCTGAGTACCTCTGGAAAAACAATGATTATGTGTGAGTGAGGCAAAAGTGTTGAATGATGATGAAAGTATTTTCTTTTTGGGGATTTTCTTTCTTTTTGGCTCATCCTGCCTCGGTGGAAGATGGCCGACTTGTTAAAAAAAAAAAAATTGTGTATGCATTCTGTATAGGTGCTTTTTTAATAATCCATTCTAGATTTAAATGTTCTTTATTTCTTTTATCAGAGAGGGACGCCGCATGAAGCCTCAGACCTTGATGGCCATGGCCCAAAATCTGTTATATGAGAGAAGGTTTGGGCCATACTTTGTGGAACCAGTTATTGCAGGACTGCATCCTAGCACCAAAGAACCATACATCTGTGCTCTTGATTTGATTGGTTGCCCTTGTGAACCTGCAGACTTCGTGGTGTCAGGAACTTGTTCCGAGTCTCTCTATGGTATGTATGTTGTCATTAACATATCAGTCCTATTAACTTTTTATAACTTATGGGAAATCTATATCTTTAGAATCTTTGATAAAGCTCTTGCATGAAGTGCTAATATATGACATACAGGTGGAAGGTAGGTATAAATTTTATGCCAAATGATGTATCAGTATTAGAACCCAGTAAGGTTATGGTAAAAACAATTTTTGCCTTAACTCTTTGAAGATTGGGACCCCCTGCTCTCAAACTTATTCTCAGGGTCAGAAAGTTTAGAAAAAAAAAATGGTATAGATTCTTTTTCCGAAGGTAATTACTATGGAGCATTAACTACCTTAATTATGCAGCATTAACTGCCTTAACTATACAATATAACTACCTTAATTATGCAACATTCATTACATTAACTACCAGATTTGATAAAAAACTGACGAAATTATGCTTTTGCGAATTTTGCTGTCAGCAATATTTATGCATTGGCGATTTTGCTCACCTTGAGTTTGATTTTAGGGCATTTACATTATTCTAATTGACCAACATCTTAGCAATTTCATTAGTATGCCTTCCATTCTATCGATTGAGTACAATAAACCACCTGTACAACTGTTTCAACTATCCAATAAAATCATCAGTCATTGATAATTTGGCCAATTTCACACAAAATTCAAGACATGCCAATTTCAAAATAAGGTCCAAACAAGGCAGGCATTCCTGGTGCTAAAATACCTTTTCCTCTTTTTATTAATTACGTCCGAAGGCTCTCCAATATTACACATAAATTCCATTTAGAACCTTTATTAACACTAAAAAATAGAAAATTTACTATTTTTTTTTTTTCAACAAGTCGGCCGTCTCCCACCGAGGCAGGGTGACCCAAAAAAGAAAGAAAATCCCCAAAAAGAAAATATTTTCATCATTCAACACTTTCACCACACTCGCACATTATCACTGTTTTTGCAGAGGTGCTCAGAATACAACAGTTTAGAAGCATACACATATAAAGATACACAATATATCCCTCCAAACTGCCAATATCCCAAACCCCTCCTTTAAAGTGCAGGCATTGTACTTCCCATTTCCAGGACTCAAGTCCGACTATATGAAAATAACCGGTTACCCTGAATCCCTTCACTAAATATTACCCTGCTCACACTCCAACAGATTGTCAGGTGACAAGTACCATTCGTCTCCATTCACTCCTATCTAACACGCTCACGCACGCTTGCTGGAAGTCCAAGCCCCTTGCCCACAAAACCTCCTTTACCCCCTCTCTCCAACCCTTTCGAGGACGACCCCTACCCCGCCTTCCTTCCCCTATAGATTTATATGCTTTCCATGTCATTCTACTTTGATCCATTCTCTCTAAATGACCAAACCACCTTAGCAACCCCTCTTCTGCCCTCTGACTAATACTTTTATTAACTCCACACCTTTTCCTAATTTCCACACTCCGAATTTTCTGCATAATATTTACACCACACATTGCCCTTAAACAGGACATCTCCACTGCCTTCAACCGTCTCCTCGTTGCTGCATTTACCACCCAAGCTTCACACCCATGTAAGAGTGTTGGTACTACTATACTTTCATACATTCCCTTCTTTGCCTCCATAGATAACGTTTTTTGACTCCACATATACCTCAACGCACCACTCACCTTTTTTCCCTCATCAATTCTATGATTAACCTCATCCTTCATAAATCCATCCGCCAACACGTCAACTCCCAAGTATCTGAAAACATTCACTTCTTCCATACTCCTCCTCCCCAATTTGATATCCAATTTTTCTTTATCTAAATCATTTGACACCCTCATCACCTTACTCTTTTCTATGTTCACTTTCAACTTTCTACCTTTACACACATCCCAAACTCATCCACTAACCTTTGCAGTTTTTCTTTAGAATCTCCCATAAGCACAGTATCATCAGCAAAAAGTAACTGTGTCAATTCCCATTTTTGAATTTGATTCCCCAAAATTTAATCCCACCCCTCTCCCGAACACCCTAGCATTTACTTCCTTTACAACCCCATCTATAAATATATTAAACAACCATGGTGACATTACACATCGCTGTCTAAGACCTACTTTTACCGGGAAGTAGTCTCCCTCTCTTCTACACACCCTAACCTGAGCCTCACTATCCTCATAAAAACCCTTTACAGCATTTAATAACTTACCACCTATTCCATATACTTGCAACATCTGCCACATTGCTCCTCTATCCACTCTATCATATGCCTTTTCTAAATCCATAAATGCAATATAAACTTCCCTACCTTTATCTAAATACTGTTCACATATATGCTTCAATGTAAACACTTGATCTACACATCCCCTACCCACTCTGAAACTCCTTGCTCATCTGCAATCCTACATTCTGTCTTACCTCTAATTCTTTCAATTATAACACTTTTCCTGGTATACTCAGTAAACCTCTATAATTTTTACAGTCTCTTTTGTCCCCTTTCCCTTTATATAAAGGGACTATACATGCTCTCCGCCAATCCCTAGGTACCTTCCCCTCTTTCATACATTTATTAAACTAAAGTACCAACCACTCCAACACTATATCCCTCCTGCTTTTAACATTTCTGTCATTATCCCATCAGTTCCAGCTGCTTTACCCCCTTTTATTTTACGTAATGCCTCACATACCTCCCCCACACTTACATTCTGCTCTTCTTCACTCCTAAAAGATGGTATACCTCCCTGACCAGTGCATGAAATTACTGCCTCTGTTTCTTCCTTAACATTTAAAAGTTCCTCGAAATATTCTCGCCATCTACCTAATACCTCCATCTCCCCATCTACTAACTCCCCTACTCTGTTTTTAACTGACAAATCCATTTGTTCTCTAGGCTTTCTTAACTTGTTTAACTCACTCCAAAATTTTTTCTTATTTTCATTAAAATTTCTTGACAGTGCCTCTCCCACTCTATCATCTGCTCTCCTTTTGCACTCTCTCACCACTCTCTTTACCTTTCTTTTACTCTCCATATACTCTGCTCTTCTTATAACACTTCTGCTTTGTAAAAACCTCTCATAAGCTACCTTTTTCTCTTTTATCACACCCTTTACTTCATCATTCCACCAGTCACTCCTCTTTCCTCCTGCCCCCACCCTCCTATAACCACAAACTTCTGCCCCACATTCTAATACTGCATTTTTAAAACTATTCCAACCCTCTTCAACCCCCCCACTACTCATCTTTGCACTAGCCCACCTTTCTGCCAATAGTCGCTTATATCTCACCCGAACTTCCTCCTCCCTTAGTTTATACACTTTCACCTCCCTCTTACTTGTTGTTGCCACCTTCCTCTTTTCCCATCTACCTCTTACTCTAACTGTAGCTACAACTAAATAATGATCCGATATATCAGTTGCCCCTCTATAAACATGTACATCCTGGAGCCTACCCATCAACCTTTTATCCACTAATACATAATCTAATAAACTACTTTCATTACGTGCTACATCATACCTTGTATATTTATTTATCCTCTTTTTCATAAAATATGTATTACTTATTACCAAATCTCTTTCTACACATAGCTCAATTAAGGCTCCCCATTTACATTTACCCCTGGCACCCCAAATTTACCTACTACTCCCTCCATAACATTTTTACCCACTTTAGCATTGAAATCCCCAACCACCATTACTCTCACACTTGATTGAAAACTCCCCACGCATTCACTCAACATTTCCCAAAATCTCTCTCTCTCCTCTACACTTCTCTCTTCTCCAGGTGCATACACGCTTATTATAACCCACTTTTCACATCCAATCTTCATTTTACTCCACATAATCCTTGAATTAATACATTCATAGTCCCTCTTTACCTGCCATAGCTTATCCTTCAACATTATTGCTACTCCTTCTTTAGCTCTAACTCTATTTGAAACCCCTGACCTAATCCCATTTATTCCTCTTCACTGAAACTCTCCCACCCCCTTCAGCTTTGTTTCACTTAAAGCCAGGACATCCAGCTTCTTCTCATTCATAACATCCACAATCATCTCTTTCTTATCATCTGCACAACATCCACGCACATTCAGACTTCCCACTTTGACAATTTTCTTCTTATTCTTTTTAGTAATCTTTACAGGAAAATGGGTTACTAGCCCATTGTTCCCGGCATTTTAGTTGACTTTTACTATTATGCTGACTAATGCATTATTGTAATAATTATATATATTATGTCAGCGCATTCCTAAAAGCGTATTAGACTGGACAGATGGATATGTATTGGACGTTTGATGTCATACGTGTACTCTGGAATATCGACAAAAATCAAACATTTTCTGCTACTTTGAGCTCAGTTTCAAGTTTCTTTCAGTCTTGAAACTAGTCAAAATAATCTCTATTTCTGTAATATATCTTCCATTCTATGAAATAAAACCAAGAAACCAAGAATACAACCGTAAAAACCATACATAAATACACCCCTTATGCAGTGATTGCTGCAGGATTTCGTTTTATATGGTGCAGTCTTACTGCACAGACCCATTCTCTCATATCTAGGCCCAAATTTATCACTCACAGCTTATCTGAGTGAGCCGAGCTCATGGCATAGAACTACGGGACTGACCCTGACTTCAATGCCGTAGACCAATGGAACCCACCCTCCAAGGGTAAAGTAGCTTACTATATATTACCAGCCATAAGTGAACGTGGGCCATAAGGCAGGGGTAAAGGGGAAATACTTTCATTGTATTAATCACATTTTCACATCTCTGGGTGTGAGAAGTGGGGTATACAGTACTTTGTCATCATAGATGAAGTTAATCAAGTTTCTGCATCAGCAATGAGCAGTTAAAGCATTTTCATATCCTCTGAGGAAATTGATGATGTTGTATATACAGTAGACTGTCATTTAACACTATAGTTACGTTCCTGAAAATGCCGTGTTAGGTAAAACTGTGTTAGATGAACTGAAGAACTTATTGGAAAAAGAGGGTTACGTTCCTGGGAGCCCTAAAAAGCCATACAACTTTTTGTTTTTAGGCCTCCACATCTTACATAAATAAAAGTGAATATGTAATTGTAGTTCATTGTTGTGATGCATTATGTTGTTTTTACTAGTTAAGGCTACAAATGTAACAGAAATAATAATACTTCTTACCTTAAATTGTGGGTGCTGGTGTTTGTGAATGATTGTGAAGATAGTGGAGAGTTATGCTTTGGCCCTACTGGGCTGAGGTGGATGGTAGAGGTTCTGGTACTGAAGTCGATAGTTGTATTGGAGTGTCTAACTTTAGGTCATTCAGTCATGTCATTCAATAAGTCATTTAGTCAAGTCAGTAAGTCGTTCAGTCAAGTCTGTAAGTCACACAAACTCATGTTTACCTCTTTTTGTGTGTACAAAGTAACACTTCATTACAGTTATCTCTTGTCTAATATCTTTGTTTTCTTCATTAATTCTAAGACTCAATGCTTATGCCTTTTCTTGCCACTTTCAGCAATACTGGTATGCCTACTGGGTGTCATGATTACTTGGCAGATACAAGATATAGTAATTAAAAGATCAAAACACAATTCACAAGCACAGCTTGTAGCAGAGAAGAGGAACTAACTGGACATGTATGAAGTACGAATGCTGGGATGGTGGGGTGGTGTCGGGGGGGGTGGCAGGGGATTGGCGGGAGGTCTCCCAAGCTGATCCACAACAAGGCGGCTGCTTGAGGAAAAGGGATTTTTTTTCCTTCTTGCAAACTGAACCATGTTAAATTAATTTTATGACGTGTTACATAAAATTGGCCCGCAACTCTTCAATCGTGCTGTACCCGTATCATGCCAAATAAACTCATGCTAAATGACGGTCTACTGTATACAAATTTTTTTCACCATGATTCATAGCTCTAAACAAATTGACTAAATTAGCTGCTTTCTGCATAATGGTCAACACAGTTTTCTTATCCTTACTGAAATTTTATGCTATCGCAGTGACATGTATCCCTGTGAATAATAGTTTTTACTTCGAGTCACTCAACTACTGTAAAGTAATATTCACTTTACAGCAGTAGCCCAGAACCACCGGAACTGGTGGACACTAAATACGTAAAAGTGAATACTTAAATGATAGTTTGTGTGGGGAGTACACATTAAAAAAAGTTGAGTTAGGAATTCCATCCTTATTTGATCTAAGAAATTAAAATACATTGAAATGAACATATCCAGAAAGGCCAGTGTTGCCACATTATGTAAGAAGAATATGAAAGATGTCAAGATAAAATTGGGTAAATATGCCTTCAGTATATACTACAAGAAGACAACATTAGTTAGAATTAGAGAAGATTTACAATAAGAGATGCTAAACCACTGATGATATACTACTGCAAGACATTTTTTTTTGCATTGACCTCAGAGAGAGAGAAACAAGGTAGAGAATGTCCAGTTATCATTAGGAATACCTTAATACATGTGAACTAAACTGAATTGTTGATCAGTTTTTTGTATACTTAGCCAAGTGTTCCTTCATGAATATGCTTTGCTCATATAAAAGTTTCATTGAATAGTTCAGGAAAAGCATAAGCAGGACAAAATACACTTGTGAGCAATTTGATGAAAGTGGTAATTAAAATGATTGATTACAAACATTTTGTTGGCAGGGGATGAGCAATTATTAGAGATTTTTCTTGCAGCACTTTTCTTTACCCAAATTTTGTGCACTCTCATTTAACCTTTAAACTGTCCAAAGCCCCAAATTAAGTGCTCTGTGTCATAATTTAAAAAAAGAATAATCTTCTAAAGCAGTATAGAATGCTTTTCTAAAGGTAATGGTGCCGGAAATAAAAAAAGATTGATGTAGTACCTTCGAAATTATGCAGGTACAAAGTTGAATGTCATGGAGAATTCTATGCAACAGGGCTCAAACCAATCCAGTTTTCACCTATTTTTCTAGCATTGAATGATCGCAAGAAACTTGTCATTTAACTATCAAAACTATAGTATTTAGTGCCTGGAAGGTGCTCATTTGGCCAATTTTACGCTTTTCGGAAATTTCCTGCTCGAAAAGAGTCCAAAATAAAAATCGTATGCTTACAGCCACTAGAACAACTTTCTCCTGTTCAATAATTGCATCCCCAGGACTTTCCATATACAGTGGACCCCCGCATAACGATATTAATCCGTTCCTGAGAGCTCAGTGTTATGTGAAATTATCGTTATGCGAATGAATTTTCCCCATAAGAAATAATGGAAATCAAATTAATCCGTGCAAGACACCCAAAAGTATGAAAAAAAAATTTTACCACATGAAATATACAATTTCCTACACACAAAGAGAAGGATACATGCACAATAGTAGAGTAGTACATGCACAATATATATTGTGCATGTACTACTCTACTAAATGAAGAATAAATGACACTTACCTTTATTGAAGATGCAGCAATGACTGATGAGACACTGTGTCCTGGGAGTGCCTTTTCCTCCTGAGTACTGTAGGTCCTGTTTGGCATTTTCTTCCAGAACAGGCCTTATCACACTGTGTATGCCACTACGATTCTTAAATCTTTCAAACCAACCTTTGCTGGCTTTAAATTCACCAATATGAGCACTAGTTCCAGGCATTTTTCCCTGTTCACCTGGGTGTTAGTCGACTGGTGTGGGTTGCATCTTGGGAGACAAGATTAAGGACCCCAATGGAAATAAGTTAGTCTTCAATGACACTGACTTTTTTGGGTTATCCTGGGTGCATAACCCTCTGGGGTTAATTGTTTCTTGGTATTCTCAATAAGCCACACCAACAACGGTGCTACAGCAGCAGCAGCTGACAGTGCTACAGCAGCAGCAGACGGTGCTACAGCAGCAGCTGACGGTGCTACAGCAGCAGCAGCTGACGGTGCTACAGTAGCAGCAGCAGCAGCAGCTGACAGTGCTACAGCAGCAGCAGCTGACAGTGCTACAGCAGCAGCAGCTGACAGTGCTACAGCAGCAGCAGACGGTACTACAGCAGCAGCAGCTGACGGTGCTACTGCAGCAGCAGCAGACGGTGCTACAGCAGCAGCAGACGGTACTACAGCAGCTGACGGTGCTACAGCAGCAGCAGCAGCAGCAGCAGTTGACCATGGTACCACAGTATTTCGATAATATTTCTCACCCTTTTTACCACAAGGTTGGCACTAGAAGCTTTCTTGGGGCCCATGGTCACTTATGTTGCAGATAAAATCACCAAAATCGCTGTACTAATATGAAATGTTCCGATTGTATGCTTGGATGTTACCGCGGAGGCTGGCTTGTAAACAATGCCACCGGCGGAACATGTGAGGCTGGCTCAGGCCTCACATAGACGCGTCTCGGACGAATAGCGTTGAGCGGGTTTTTTAGCGGTATGCGAGGCAAAATCTTAGCGATAAAATGTATCGGTATGTGGATTTAACGTTATATGATGCCAACGGTATGCTTGGGTCCACCTTATATATATGTATAGTACTTGCTCTCCTTTTTTAATCCATCATCACATGCCAAAAATCAACATTTTTTCCTGTTTATCAGCTAAAACACCATACCCAGGAATGCTTGCTTATGGTTTACACAGAAATCCTGTGACTTACTATCTTTCATTTCATATTTGGAAAGTTGAAGAGTCCCAGGAGGATAATTTTTTTTGTTTTGTTTTCAGGACTTTCTAGGCAGCTATCTATTTGCCTTATCTGATCCTTGAATTCTTCAGACATTGCTGATATTGATTTATATATACATACAATGATAAGAACTAGATTCCTATTTTCCATGTTAATTCCTAGAACTTCTGCTGTATTATTTGATGAATTCACTGGTTCTGTGCAACAAAATAGGTCTTTCACATAGTCCTTTTCCTCATTGTGACATATTTTCTCTGTCACATCTATAAATATAGCTTTTTATTATCTCAGCATCCAAAATATCTCTTGTATATGTTCTGTAAAAAATTGCATTTTCTAATAATTTGCCTTTTTTATTTACTTTCCAATCCTGAATGTTTGCAAATAGGATGGAGGACTTACCATTTGTGATGTTTTAGTTTACCGTAGATTTTGTTAGTACCACTGGTACTGTGCCATCATGTGATATAGCTCTTGGTGTACATAATTAGTCATAACCTCATGAATGTTGGAAATGTCGATGCCAAGTAGAGAGGTTATTGACACGTGACTTAATGCTAGGTAATTTTAAAGGAAATTTGCTATAATGGTTAAAGGTTATTAAAAGAAACAAGGAAAAATTAACAAAGAAAAAGTGGTTTATTTAAATAGTAATTCCAATTGTCATTTTGTATCAGTGTTTTAAACTTTTTCAGGCATGTGCGAGACCACATGGCGCGAGGATATGGAACCTGAGGATTTGTTTGAGTGCATCAGTCAGTCACTCGTAAATGCCTTTGATCGTGATGCACTCTCAGGATGGGGAGCTGTTGTTCATATTATGTAAGTATTATTTTGTTTGACTTTTAGTGTTTCAGTTTGTTCCCTAATACTCCTTACACAATTTGTTATTCATGTTAGTGATTTTTTCTTGTTTATCACTGGTTCGTATCGACTAAGATAAGTTTACACTATAATTTTTTAAGGCTGAAGAAATAATATTGGGTTAAATAGATTGTATATTATTTTACTAATATTTGTTCTTTATTTTTCAGTGAGCATGATAAAGTGACAACACGTTACTTGAAGTGCAGGCAGGATTAGTTCAAGTGGAATTGTCATGTTCTTCCTAATTGCAACAAATGTATTTTATTAGAATGTGACATTAAAATGTTGTGCAGTTCTTTAATTTTTGACATGCCAGCAATTCCAGAAGTGCACGGATTGAGAAAAACTGAAAATCTGTATGCTGTTTTTATGTTGGTTTTCAAGTTTTATAAACATTTGAGATTCTCCATTTTGATTTGAAGGATTTCTTGAGACTAATAAAAAGATTTTTGTTGGTGCTTTTTAAAATTCTATACATTTTATTGTAGGATTATATTGTAAGATAACATGGATAGTATGTTTGCACTGCCCAACTTAGGCCAAATATTTGGTACTAATGTCTAATTTCCTCACTAGGAGCCTCTTTAAGGGGGAGCTTCTTGTTGCAGTAAAGAGGCTATTGGTGTGAGGAATTGGACCTTTTAGTCTTCTTCCTTACACCGAACCTAATTACCCCCCAATCCCCACTTCCTTATCCTATCCTCCCCATCCCTCCCCTATCCCCAGTCTTTGGGATTCTTCCCAGAAGCACTCTAGTTTCTAGGCAGGGGAAAGGGTACCATGGTCCATCCCATTCCGTTGAGGTCCACGATGATGGTGTAGCTTGCCATGGAATCTGGATGACCTGGGATGTCCCAATCCCTCTCTGGTCTCCCGGGGGGTGGCTTTGGGTGTCTTTCAGGTGACAGGTGTATCTCTGGAGGTGGCCTTTTGGATTCTGGGGGGTAATGACGGGTATCTGGCTGCCCTGTCTTTTGTCCACCAAGGTGGCTTGGTAGATGTGAGGTTGCTATCCCAGATTGCTGGTTTACTGGCATGAAGTGTAGGGTATGGCACGGGTTTCGTGCCGCATCTGCACTAGCGGTGTTGGGGTCCTCTTGGGCGTGGAAGGGGATTTACGGCCCTTTCTTTCCTAGGAGCTATCCTTCCACATCCCCCCCCCTTTTTTTCTAAAAAAAAAAAAAAAAAACGTGACCTGACAATGGAGTCCCTAACCCATGAACCAGCTCCTCCTGGGCCTCTTTCTGCTGCCACACCCTGTTCTGGCCCTACCTCATTATTTAACCACTTAGGGCATTTCTAATGCCCTAAGTGGTACCATTTCATCACCCGCTCTAGGAACCAGGGTTTCGCCTGACTCCTTTGATACATCAGACCTCCACACTTCTTCGACCATGCTTCCGGCTTCTCCCTCGACAGTGCAATGATTTTCAGATTGTCTACCTGTCCCACGTTGGACCAACTCTGGCATTCAGGTGTGGGACCAAAGACCATTAACTGATGATACTCCATTGCTTCCTTCTCACTCTGCTCAGAAAAGACCAGCATGACACTCACTCCCCTTACGCACTGTGTTTCAAAATACACGATGGACTAAGTTTTTTACTCTGCGACCGACTTCTCCTGACTCCGATCATAGTATTAGCAGGGCGCTCCTATACCATGTTGGTCGAGATATATCCTTTCGTGCTCTCAAGAACAGTGCACGCATTGTCATGGTACAGATGCTAGCCAAGCTTGCACTCTCTCTCCTTACAACCTTAGATGCTATTCCTGTACTATTGAAACATGTCATTCTGTCAATTTTTGTAGGTGTACTGTCATTCTACCTCATACCAGTGGAATTTCCAGACATTCTGGAATAGCTTGAGCTCCAAGACCTCCCAATCCTCGAAGTAAACACTTATGTCCTCCCTGCCTGCAGGTGGAGACTCTACCCTTGCAATGTAGCTTGCTTAATTTTTGACTGCCATGAGCTTCTGGCCTCAGGTTTATATTGTGGGACACCGTTTACAAGTTCCAAAGGTGATCCCTACGCCGCAACAGTGTAGAAATTGCTAGCGTTTTGGTCATCCCAGGAAATATTGCAGGTCCATGGCCGAGTGCCCAGTCTGTGGTGCCGTTGACCATACCAGTACATCTCATAGTCTACCTCCCTCCATCTTACTATGGCCGTTGCCAAGTTTACTTAAATGAGTGAGAAATCCGGTCTCAGAGGCAGAAGGCTTTCCTTATGCTCCTCTTCAAGGGGGGGCTCCTTGTTGTGGTGAAGAGGCTCTTGGTCTGAGGAATCAGACCTGTCGGTCTCCTTCCTCAGACCGAACCTAATTACCCCCCAAAAACCCCCTCCCTATCCCATCCTCCCCTTTTTCCTTTCCTCCTCCTCCTCCCCACCCCTCCCTTTTGCCCTTCCTCTTTTTGGCCTTTGGGATTTCTCCCACAGGCATGCTAGTTCCTAGGTAGGGGAAAGGATACCGGGGTCCATCCCATTCCGTTGAGGTTCTTGACGGTGGCATAGTTTGCCTTGGAATCTGGATCGCCTGGGGATGTCCCGATCCCTCTCCGGTATCCTGGAGTAGCTTTAGGTGTCTTTCGGGCGACGAGTGTATCTCTGGAAGCCACCTTTCGGATTCCGGGGGTGGTGGCCGAAGGAGGTATGCTTTGTGGCGGATATCCGGCCGCCCTCTCTTTTGTCCACCGAGGTAACTCGGCAGATGTGAGGTTGCTATCCCGGATTGCTGGTTTACTGGCATGAAGGGTAGGGTATGGCACGGGTTCCATGCTGCATCTGCGCTACTAGCGGTGCTGAGGTCCTCTTGGGCGCGGAGGTCCTCTTGGGCGCGGAGGGAGATTTCCGGCCCCTTCATTCCTCCTGGGAACTATTCCTCCCCGCTCCCCCCTTTTTTTATTCTTTTTTTTTTATTTTTATTTTATTTTATTTTCTTTTTTTTCTTAAAAACAAAAAGCAAAGGAGTAACCTAACCATGGAGAACCCAATCCATGAACCCACTACCCCCGGGCCCCTTCTTGATACCGCACCCCATCTGACCCTGCCTTGTTTTAGACCCTCCCTTTGGACACTCCTGATGCCCCTGTACCTCTTGCTGGTGCAGTTTCCTCACCCGCTTCAGGTACCGGGGCTTCGACTGACTCCTTCGATTTGTCTGACCTCCGCTCTCCTTTGACTATGCTTCCGGCCTCTCCCTCTACGGTATGGCAATTTTCGAATCGCCAGCCCATTTCATGCCGGACCAACTCTGGTCCTACTCCTAAATGCCAATGTCAATCTCCTGATGATGCTCCTTCGTTACCTTCCCATTCTACTCGGAAAAGACCGACACATCATGCACTCCCTCTCCACGCTCAGTTTCGGACCACACAATGGACTCAATTCTTTACTTTAAGACCGACTTCTTCTGCCTATCTTTCTGACCATAGTATTGGCAAAGCGCTCCTGCGTCATGTTGGCAGAGATATTTCATTTTATGCTCTCAAGAGCGGTACGCGCATCGTCACTGTCCAGAATGCTACCCAAGCTCATGATCTTTCTCTCCTTTCGAATATCGATACTACTATCACTATTGAAAAACATCTTTCTCTCAATTCTTGTAGTGATACTGTCATTCTGCCCCATACCATAGTCCAACAGAATTTCCAGTCATGTGGCAATGACATTTTTGAACAGCTGGAACTCCAGGATCTCCCAATCATCAAAGTACGTAGACACTTATGTCCTTCCTGCCCGTGGGCTGAGACGTTACTCTTGCAATGTGGCTCGTTTAACTTTTGACAGCCGAGAACTCCCGTCCTCTGTATGTGTCGCGGGACATTGGTTACAAGTTCGAAAGGTGATACCTACACCGCAACAGTAGAAATTTCTGGCGTTTTGGTCACCCAGCGAAATATTGCAGATCTATAGCCGAATGCCCAGTCTGTGGTGCCGACGACCATTCTAATACATCTTGTAGTCAACCTCCATCTTGCCTTAATTGTAATGAAGCTCACCCTTCATACTCCCGCCATTGCCCGGTCTACTTAAATGAACGTGAAATCCGTTGCCTCAAAGAGGCAGGTCTCCCTTATGCTATGGCAGTTACTCATCTCCGCCTCCAAGGGATACTACCCCGTGTTTCTTAATCTCGTGTTTCAAAACATCCCCCCACTTCTGGGGTCCCATCTTCTGCAGCCTCCTCTGTTGTTACCCCTCCCATAGCCACTCTGGCATCTAATCCTTTTGCTGTCCTTGGCTCTGACGTCCCGACTACAACTCAGTCTGTTCTCACATCTTCGCGTCCTTCCTCACAAGCCCCAGTATCGACAAGACCTCGTACGACACCTAATACCAATCGCCCCTCTACTTCTCAGAAGTCCAAAAAATCCACATTGCTCAAATCTTCTTTGCCCCTTCCTTCCCTTCTTCCACCTCCACACTTTACCTTTCCAGTCTCTGTGCCTAGTTCTTCCCCTCTCTCTGGCTCTATTACAAGTGTGGAGATTCACCCTCCTCCTCGTACTATGCCTTCCACCCCCGTCCCCCTCCCAAGTTTCTCCCTCTTCTGCCACCTCCATTTTTCTGCCTCTTCTGTCCCTCCCCCACACTTCATCTCCAGTCCCTTACACTCTTTTGTCCCCCTTTACTTTGGTACAGTCCATTACTGTCCCAATCTTTACTCACCCTCCCCCTTCTATCTCCAATAGGTCTCCACATACATCTTTGAGTTTCAGAAAACCATTGAAGCCATTTCAGAATATATTGCAGAGACTAAATCTTCAATGGACACTGATTCACTTCCTGTTCCTTCTCTTCCCTCTCCTCCATCTTCACAACCCCATTCTTCGCAACGCTCCGTTCCTTCGCTGCTTGAACGTCTTCCAATGCCACCACGCGTTGACTTTTCTAACCCCTCTAGTCCGTAGGTGCCTTTCCCTACGGATTCCTGGTATTTTCTTCATCGCCAGTCATGGCCTATTTACAGTGGAATATCTGCGGCCTCAGGGGTAATCGGGGTGAGCTTCAGATGTTGCTTTCCAGGTTTTCCCCTGTTGGTGCTTGCTTACAAGAGCCAAAATTACACTCAGCTGTTTTCCAACCTATCTCAGGCTATAATTTATTGTATTCTTCGGATCCTTTCTCAGATGGGACCTTTAATGAAAGTGCCCTTCTTCTACACAATGATATTCCGTACTGTCATCTATTTGTCCATACCTTGCTGCATTACACTGCAGCCTGTATCCACTTGAATAAGTGGTTTACAATATGTTCTTTATATCTCTCTCCTTCTCGAGCATTTTCTATCCCAAACTTTGCCTTTCTTGTTTCATCCTTGCCACCACCACTTCTGTTACTTGGTGATTTTAACGCCCACCATTTCCTCTGGGGATGGGTCTCATTGTGACTCACGTGGCATCCAGTTGGAGGCTTTTCTCGCCTCTCACCCCCTCCATATTTTAAAT